ATTTTAATTATATTTATTATAAATTTTTTGGAAATAATACGCGTCAAAGATATATTATATTAATTAATAAATTTACAATATTAATTATAATTTTTTTAAATAGAATATTCTATTTTTTTTTATGTAATATAAAAGTATATATTTATAATAAATCATAATATATCATATCAAGTATATATTCTTATATTATAAATATAACAAATTATTTTTTAGATAATATCAGTTACATAGTCTACAAAATTTAATCTGAAATTAGAAAAGAAAAATGGCGAGCAGTTTCGAAATTTTATGCGGCATCGCCATATTGATTCTTACCCTCTATTACTATTTCACGTCAACGTTTGATTTTTGGAAAAGTCGTGGAGTGGTTGGACCGAAACCCATACCATTTTTCGGTTCTACGAAGGATCTGATATTGATTAAAAAATCGATGGCTCACTTCGTCAAGGATATTTACGAGAATTACAAAAATGAACCAATGATTGGTTTATACGCGAATAGATCGCCTTTTCTTCTCTTAAATGATCCAGAACTCATCAAAGATATATTAATTAGAGATTTTTCCAAATTTGCAAATCGAGGATTGGGAGTTTTTGAAAAAGTAAGCGAAATATTTACAAAATCTGTCAAGTTAAATTTTAGTTAAATTAATTTTAATCAACATAATAACAAACGATGATGTATATTTTTTTTTATCATATTCTATAAATTATATCTATAGAATTGTACGATTATATTTATTGTAGCGAAAAAAAATTTATCTTTAATTTTTTAAATTTAGCGCACACTTTAAAATCTTTCAGGATGATTTAATGTTTCTTATTTCTTTTCTTTTCTTTTTTTTTTTTTTTTTTTTTTTTCGATTAAATATCGACAGACAGAACCATTATCGCCGCATATCCTAAACTTGGAAGTAGAAAGATGGCGACCATTGAGATCCAGACTCTCCCCAATATTCACATCAGGAAAATTAAAAGAAATGTTCTATCTTATAATCGAGTGCTCGCTAAATTTAGAAACATATTTGGACAATTTAATCGAAAAAAACGAGCCCATCGAATGCCGTGAATTAACAGCAAGATTCACAACCGACGTAATCGGTTCTTGCGCGTTTGGTATCGATATGAGCTCGATGACGAACGAAAATAGCGAATTCCGTAAAATGGGCAGAAAAGTGTTCGATGTGAACTTAATAAATATTATACGATTAAAGTTGAAACAATTCATGCCAAGGCTGTACGACTTACTCGGTTATGTGATGCCTGATCGAACATTCGCACCGTTCTTTACACGGGTTGTGAAGGACACAATAAAGTACAGAAATGATAATAACATCGTTAGGCCAGATTTCATCAACATGTTGATGGAGCTCCAGAAAAATCCACACAAATTGGAAAATATCAGTAAGTTTTTGTGAAAACTTTGTAATTTCACGTTCCTTGAAAAAAAGTAATCTTTGTATTTGAGAAAATTATTATTTTTCGTTTGTGAAAAATGATAGTATATTTTTGAAATTGTTGTTATGATTATTTTATCACACGTTATATATTCGGAATACATATACGTGGGATTTAATGAGATTTGGATCGATTTTAAATGTTAATTCTAAAAATTAATATTAGAAAAATATCGATTCAGGTTTACTTATTATATTATATGCAAATTTTATTCTTATTAATTTAATTTTTACGTCCTATATATAACGAATATATTAACATCTTATATTTTCAAAACTTATCGTCATAAACTTTTAACAAATATTTTATTCTATAATGGTTTATCTTTAAAAGTAACTTTTTGTTTTTCTTTTTTTTTTTTTTTTTTCTAGAATTGACGGATTCATTAATCGCAGCACAAGCATTTGTATTCTTTCTTGCGGGTTTTGAAACTTCATCGACAACTATGAGCAACGCTCTCTACGAATTAGCTTTGAATCAAGATGTACAGAAGAAGTTACGCGAAGAAATCAATACGTTTTGTGCTAAAAATAATAGAGAATTGAAATATGATGACATCAAAGAAATGGAATATTTAGATAAAGTATTTAAAGGTATGAGCAAGAACAAATATTATATTTCATATCTCCTTACGTATCGTTTTACACGAAGTAAATCAAAATATGAAAAATGAAAAACTCCTTAATATTTTAATCGTAATTTTAATGGTTAATAGAACAAGAACAAAAAATTAAAAACAACGATTAAAAATTCTTATTCTAAAATTCTACGACAAATATACGCATTCCGATAATTTATCTTTTTGCAGAAACGTTAAGAATGTATCCACCAGCAACAATTTTAATGAGAAAAGCAACATCCGACTATACATTCAATGACACGAAAGTTACGATACCTAAGGACACCACAATTTGGGTTCCAGCGTTTGCGATACATCGAGATTCGGCTATTTATCCGAATCCTGATTCATTTGATCCTGAAAGATTCGATGAAGATGCAATGGCTAGTCGACATCCTATGCACTATTTACCTTTTGGTGATGGACCAAGAAATTGCATCGGTATGTTGAATTAATTAATATATGCGAAGAATATATATAATTTCTTATTGTTTATATTCCATTTACATTCCATAATTTTCAATCAATCAATCATTAATCATTATGTTACTTTTAGGTGCGCGTTTTGCGGTTTATCAAACTAAAGTTGGATTAATTACCATTCTTCGTAATCATAAAGTAGAAGTTTGCGAAAAGACAATAATTCCTTACGAATTTGATCCAGGTGCATTTTTGTTGAGTCCAAAAGGTGGAATATATTTAAAAATAACAAAAATATGAAGTGAACGAAATGAACGAAACATTGCATTCAAAAATTTTTAGGAATCTATTAAGTTAAATATATATTTTACGGGGACATAAATAATTAATTCTAATCAAAAGAAAAAAATAATATATATATATATATATACTTATAATAATTATAAGTATAATTAATTAGTATAATTGGTTTTATTACTAAGAATTACTAGAAAGGAAAATTTTAAATAGATTAATAGATTTTTATTAGAAGGCATTAAGTGAATTTAATTATTATTAATAATTTTCTTATGTAAATTTTTTAAACTCTCTTATTATACTCTTATAATCGAATATGTTGATTATAATGATTAATTACAATTTATATGCAAAATATTCCTCTTTGATAAAAACTTTTAATAAGATTTTCATTTTTCCATTGTAAAATTCAAAATATTCTCATTCATTTTATCATCTATTATCATTCATTTTTCATAACTATGTTAAATATATTATAATATAGTAAACATATTAATAATTAATATATGTTAATCAATTTATAAATATTGATGTTTCGTGTGTGATATTTGTAAAACAATTTGTATCATTAATATGAATGACTAGAATATTTAAAATTGAAATAAAGGTTTTTTTAATAATACACACATTTCATTAATATAATTTTTTTTATTATACTTTTTATATTTATATTATTATATATAGGTTCTGATAATAGCAATATATTATTCAACAATTATTTATGAATATAAATTATTCAAAAAATATCTTAGGATTAAAAAAAAATATAAAATATAATTATATTAAATAATAAACATAAATATATTTATATTGAAAATACTTATTATTGATACAATTGATAATTATATCTATTATTATGTTAATATTTAATTTCCGACGAAAATATGAAATCTTTAATTCTTAATCTAAAATTAATTTTTATTTGGTAATATCAACAATATCATCGAGATATATTTATTGGAAAATATTTTAAATAAAATATAAAAGATTGTATAAATCGATTAATGATTTTGTTTTTCTTGTAAAAATTAGGGTGAGAAAAATAATTTTAATAAAAAGCAAAATAATTTTAGTAATTTTAGTAAACATTGATTGGAATTATAATTTAACGATAATATTCAAGATGAATATTTATTATATTTATGTAAATAAAAACGTTGTTACGAGAAAGAGACAAAGAAGAAGAGTGAGAAAGTGAGCAAGTGTGAGTAAGTGAAAGAGAGAAAAATAAAGAAAGAGAAAAAATGAAATTTAATCTTATTATTAAGAATTTCATTTATGTTTTTTAATATTTTTAAATAGTTTTTAAATTAAAAACTATTTTGTAGAATAATATATAATGTATAATTAGGAATTATTATTTCTATAAGATTAATACTATTTAACATATTAGAAAAAATAAAATATTTTTAAAATTATATAAGATGCTAATACATTCTTAAGATAATCTTTGAAGGATCAAATCTAGAAATAAATACAAATATTAATAAAATAAATATTTTAAAAATATTTTCGAAACCATTCACGATAATGTTTCAAAAAATGTTTCATAAAAAAATTGATTTGATAAGAAAATTTAGAAAATTTTGAAAATTTGGAATTAACTCTAATAATAAGATGAAGATTAATTACAATATAAAATATCTAAAAATGAGTATATAAATAGATATTTACAAAATATCGATAAAATAATATATCAAATGATTGACAGATCATTGATAAACGTTGAAATGTTTTTAAAAATCAAACTAACTGGGGAAGATAACTATTTGTGCATTGATAAACTAGATAACTGAAAAATTTATGATCAATAGTAAAAATGGGTTCTCAATCGTAAAATTAATTTATAAATAAGATTAAAATTATTATAATATCTATTTAAATGCAAACTTAATAAATATTTTAAAACGTTATTTAAAAAAAAGTAATTAAAATTTAAATTAAAATTTCCTTAGAAGATTATATATGTTTTTATAAATTTTAAAAACAATTTTATTCATCTTTACAAGTAATTCTAACGAAGAGAATCGAAGAAATAACGATTATTCTAACGATAACGAAAATTATATCAAATTATGAGAACATAAATAAATAAAAAATATTATCATTTTTTCTCAAATATTATCATAATAATTTCAAGAAAACTTCAATCTCAAACAAATCGGATATAACTATAAACATAAGTACATATGTTTAATATATAATTATAAACATCGGTATATGTTTAATATATAACTATAAACATAAATAAATATTTATATAAACACGATAACGTTGAGAATAAATAATGAGTCGAAATAAGTTTCAAAACGTCAATTGCATACTATCATTCTACAATGTTACAATTGATTAAAGAGTAGTTTCTAAGTTTCGCACGGTTTCACACTGAATCGACATGTTTGATTATTTTCAAATATTAATCGCATTCATCGCGATTTCTCTCGCTTTGTATTATTATCTTACGTCAAATTTTGATTTCTTCGGAAAAATCGTGGCGTGGTTGCACCTAAACCCAAACCATTTTTTGGAAATACCAAGGATGTCGTATTAAAAAAAGTTGAAATAAGCAACTATATAACGGAATTATAACGAGGCAATGTTCGGGCTATTCTTCGGCGAATCGCCTAATCTCGTTTTGCGCGATTTAGATCTCATCAAAGATGTTTTGATCCAAGATTTCTCTACGTTTGACGAATGAGGATTCAATATTTCTGAACGGCTATGTATTTTTATATATATATATTTAATTCTACTTTCATTAGCAATATAAAAAGTTCAAAGTTCTATCAATTTCTTAAAATAAATTGCTTCGATTTAATTTTTCAATTATAGGCTGATCCACTGAACGCAAATCTCTTCAACATAGATGTGACAAGATGGCGACCATTAAGAACGAGATTGTCATCGGTATTTACTTCTGGTAAATTAAATAAAAGGAAATGTTTCCCTTGATATTGAAATGCGCCGAATTGGAGCAATGCTTGGAGGATGTTGTAAAAAGAGGAGGGCCTGTGGATTGTTTTGAAATATCAACATGAACGCGTTGTCAGACGAGCGTAGTGAATTTCGCAGAATAGGAAAAAAAATTTTTGAGCTAGATAAAAATATTCTAAGATCTTTTCTTCGACAATTTTTTCCACGGTTCTATAATTTACTTGGTTTTGTAATACCATATTCAGAAACAAGTATATTTGTGATGAAATTTATTTCAGAAATAATCAAATATAGGGAAGAGAATAATGTGGTAAGAGCAGATTTCATAAATTTATTGATGGAATTGAAAAAACATCCGGAAAAATTGAAGAATATTAGTAAGTAAGATAATGATGATTTTAATTCTTTCAAAAAGCAAATAAAGTTGAAGTCTGTGATCATTTCATAAATAAAATTTTAAGACGTGGAATTGAAATAGAATTTGAAATAGAATTTTAAATTTATCATAAATCTTTTGTCTGATAATGTTTTATAAATAATCATTATGATATTAATGTATAAAATACTATTTTTTAAAATACTATTACGAAATTTTATAGAAATAACGAATAGTTTACTTGCTGCGCAAGTTTTTGTTTTCTTCGCGGCTGGATTTGAAACATCATCAACGACAATGAAACACGTTCTTTATGAAATGGCTCTGAATCCTAACATACAAGATAAACTACGAAAAGAAATGAAACAATTCCATACCAAAAATAATAAAAATCTCACATACGAAGAAGTTAAGAAAATGAAATATTTGGACAAAGTATTTAAAGGTATATTTTTTAAGTTTATTTCAACAATAACAAAATATATATAAAAATTTTTATACATTATTATTAATATTTTATTTTATATATATTTTTGCAAATAAATAGAAAACCAACAATTTATTATCACCACATTGAAATATATGTAAAAATTAATAATTGCAATTTAAAGTCAGATTATTTTAAGTAAAATAGAATTATTATTAAAATGAAATTACCTTAATGATTTATCTGTCCTTTTAAACAGAAACACTGAGAAAGTATCCACCAGGAGTGCTTCTAAAGCGAAAATGCAACTCTAATTATACCTTTAATGATACAAAAGTATCAATACCTGCTGAAACTTCTATAATTATTCCTGTGTATGCAATTCACACAGATCCAAAATTCTATGAAAATCCAGACGTGTTTGATCCTGAAAGATTTAACGAGGATGCAGTAGCTGCAAGCCATCCAATGACCTATTTACTATTTGGTGATGGGCCAAGGAATTGCATTGGTAATTCAAAGAAAAATGTTAAAACGTTTATCGTTTGATTATTATTAATAATAATTTGTATCAGTCTTACGATTATTAAAATTTTTAACATTTACTTGTTTTGTATTTTTGTACATTAATGAATACAATCGATGATTAAATTATTATTTCGTTTCAGGAGCACGATTTGCCGTTTATCAAACAAAAGTTGGACTAATAAAAATGCTACAAAATTACAAAGTAGATGTTTGCAAAAGAACAATGATTCCTTATGTAAAAAAGATAAATTCATTTACATTGGCTCCTAGAGATGGAATTTTCTTGAAAGTGGAAAAAATAACTGATTACGGAAAAGTACAAAATAAATAACGAGAAAAAATAAATATAAAAACTTGAAAACATACTTAAATATTTTTTATGTACAAGAGATATATTTGTAAAAAATATTCTATGTTATTATTACTATTATTTTCATAATTTTAATTATAAATATAAAATAATATTTTATTAATCTAAAATATTGATAATTTTCAATAAATAAACTTCTACAAAAATTATTTTTTATTATTTCAAAGGAATAATTATCTTTTATTATAGTTATACAAGAATTTAATTATTTCTTTTCAATTTTATAAATTATAAAATATGTAAATTACAATAATGTAAAAATTTGTATAAAAAAAAATATCATTTTAGGTTTATAATAAAATTTCATTAAATCATATTTAGAATAAGAATCTTTAAATACAATAAATATGTACAAATATAAATATGTATAAGTGTGTTATATATAAATTATATATAAATACGTATTTATATATCATAATGAATTCGATATAGTATGATATGAATTACATATACATTTTGTATTATATAA